CACTTTCTGGTCAAATGAAAATCGCTGGTTTCATCCCGTTTGCCCGTTTTCTGCCCAGGATTTAATTCAGCTGAAAAGAAAAAGCTACGGAAATTTGTCAAGTTCAAGTATGTAATCAATCTGAACTGTGTTCATACAGTACCTGATATTTTTCTGTTCCAGACTTTCGTAGCCCAGTTTACCAGTAAAGATCTCCTCGATCTGAAAATCAACGTTTTAAATGTTGAACTTCTTTTTATCACTAAGCGTTTGAAAATACATTTTTAAATGAGGTAATTCAATGAACACGTTCACTGGCAACAGGTAATAATGAGGTTGTACATATAGTATCTTGTCTTACGTAAACAAGTTATTTACCTTTTTACTGAGTTTCTCCCATAGTTGATTGTCTTCCCCATCAGTACAATCACCCCTCGCGATAACCATGGTCACATTAATTACATCACTTGCTATGACTAATAATCAAACATGAATTCAGTTAGCAAGGGTACCAAGGTACCTTTTATATACAAATGAATACATGTAAACAATTTCATACCCTCAAACCAGTTCTTAAAGCAATTTTAGTTGTCTCTGTTGATTTTCCATCAAGTCATATACTTAGACTATTTTCCAAATTCCGCGCGCAATAGTCACACAATTAGGCTGCACCACACTCCCTCCAAGACAGGATGTCTCATGGTGACGTGAGTCAAAGAAGTTTTTTTTTAATTGTGTCGAGTGTGTATAAAAGACATGAGGTCTTGTTTTTCTTAATAGGCCTCGAATTCCTTAGATTGATTGTCCGAAGTGGAAGAATTTGAAATGTACTTTGCCTTCATTTGTGAATCCATGCATAGTCATTAACAACCTCAGTGGAAGTCGATTCTGTAGCACCACGACCGGACTGTGTATTGTCAATGCAAGATGATATATTTATTTTTAGGGGCAGACCATTATTTTTTTGAGTGGAGTGGGTTGGGCAATTTTCTGAGGCAAGTAATGTTTTTCTCACCTGTAGTTTATGCATAATTTTTTGGTGGGCAATACCTTGTGCAATAAGTTTTTAACATTAAAAATCAACATAATGACAGTAGAGAAGAGTTGCTCGATTTTTCCCCATGGCACGATTTGTTATGAGAGAATTCGCCGTTCCACAGACAATTCTTTATTATTTGGAAAATTATAGGAAAAAACCGTC